TCCCCATCTCCTCCACAAGTTATACTGACATCAAATATAGTGAAAGCAGGGGTTATACTGTGGTGGAGGGACATACAAAGCAACAAAGAAATAATCTTATAAATGCGTTAGAAACACATGCATGAAAGAAAAAAAATTAAAATACATATCTAAGGGTTCATTTTCCTAACATCACATTATCTGACCTTTTCCGCTTGACTCATACCTATACTAGATATTGCAAATAAAGGAAATGGGACCTGTGTTTCTTTGGGCCTGGCTTACTTCACTTAATATAATTTTTTCCAAGTTTTTCCATTTCCTAACAAATGGGGCAATGTCATTCTTTCTGATGGAGGCATAGAATTCCATTGTGTATATATACCACATATTCTTGATCCATTCATCTACTGAAGGGCATCTGGATTGGTTCCATATCTTAGCTATGGTAAATAATGCTGCAATAAACATAGTTGTGCTAGTAGCTTTAGTGTGGTCTTGTTTGTAAACATTTGGGTAAATGCCCAAAAGTGGGATTGCTGGGTCATAGGAGAGCTCTATGTGAAGTCTTTTGAGGAACCTCCATACTGCTTTCCAAAGTGGTTGAACAAGTTTACATTCCCACCAACAATGAAGTAAGGTTCCTTTCTGTCCACATCCCCTCCAGCATCTGTTGTTAGAGTTCTTGATTTTAGCCATTCTAACTGGGGTGAGGTGGTATCTCAATGTTATTTTGATTTGCATTTCTTTTATGGCTAGGGATATTGAACATTTCTTCATGTGTCTATTGGCCATGCTTCTTTCTTCTTCAGAGAAGTTTCTCTTTAAGTCTTTAGCCCACTTATTTATTGTGCAGTTGTTTCTTTGAGGATTTGTTGTTGGGGGATTTAATTTTTTAAGTTCCAAGTATATTTTAGATATGAGACCCTTGTCCATTGTATGGTTAGTAAAGATCTTCTCCCAATCCGTGGGCTTTCTATTGATCTTGCTAGCTATGTCCTTTGCCCTGCAGAAGCTCTGCAATTTTATGCAATCCCATTTGTCCAACCTTTCTTTGATTTGTTGTGTTTCCAGGTCTCTATTCAGAAAATTTCGGTCTGAGCCAAGGAGACCTAGGGTTTCTCCTATTCCATCCTGAAATGTTTTCAGAGTGTCTGCTTTGACTTCGAGGTCTTTGATCCATTTGGAGTTGATTCTGGTGCAGGGTGATATATAAGGATCTAGCTTTAGTTTTTCTACAAGTAGTTAACCAATTTGCCAGCACCATTTACTGAAGAAGCTGTCTTTCTTCCATTCTATTTTTTTAGCTTGCTTATCAAAGATTAGATGGCTATAGGTCTGTAGGTTCATTTCTGGGTTTTCAATTCTATTCCATTGGTCCTGAGGTCTGTTCTTATGCCAATACCAAGCTGTTTTGATTACTAGTATGGTTAATCAGTTATTTAACCTCTTGTTCAAGGTCCATTGAAAAGTTTCCAATTTTTCACTATTTCAAACAGTTCTACAGTGAACATTCTAAGACATCCATTTCTGTGGTAGCTGAAGGTGTGGCTAGTCTGGGCATTACAGTACTGTTGTCACAAATCTACCTCTCATGCCTTTGCCTTTTCTCTTGATTGGCTTCATTTTTAAGCAACCTTATCTCACATGGTAGCAAGTATGACTGTCAGAAATTCTAGGACTACATTCTAGTGCTATTTTATTTCCCAGTATCAGTAAAGTTGGATAAAATGGCTCTTACTGAACACCTTAGAACACACATTCATCTTTGACTCTACTCTTGTAGCTTTGGGGGTGGTATACAAAAATGCACATGCTAATCGTATCTAGATTTGTGTCACAGGGGCCTAAGTGTTCTAAGTATCTTGTAAAGTTTGGGTAATGAAACAAGTATGTTGTTTATGTATACTATTGGAGTGAGCAATGAGGTATGTTATAGATTGAGAATCTTTTATGTTTTTTCTTTTCAGTTTTCTTAACTCAGGTCCTTATGCATGCCAGGCACTTGAGCCTTACTTCCAACCCCTTTTTTGCCTTTGTTATTATGAAGGTAGTATTTCGTGATTTTTTTTTCTGGATGGTCTTAAATTAAGATCTTCTCTGCTATAGTCTCCTGCATAAATGAGCCCACAGTGTGTGCCATCACTTCTGATTATTGATTAAGATAGAATTCCCTAATTTTTCCTGGGTTGGACTCAAACAATGGTCTTCGTGTTCTCCCATCTGTCAACATAGCTGATATTAACAGATATAAAGTACCACAAGCCTGGCCAGTAACAAACTTAAAGGGAAACAAATTTCCAATTCAGTAAAGCCTTGCCCTTGAATATTCAGTAATGTGATCAACATTTTTCTTAGTATTTTTTCATGTGCCAAACCATAGCAGAGCTTAGATATTTTATTTGCTTATTCAATAATGTTTATTAAATTCTGCTGTATGCTAGTCACCATGCCAGTGGCTAGAGATAAAAATATTTAAAACAAAAAGATTCTTGCCTCAGGTTCCTTATATTATTCATTAGTATATATAAGTAAGCAAGTGAAGAAAGAATATTCCAGACTGTGACGAGGTCATCAAATAGAAAGGAATTACCAAAGGCTGTTTTAGGAAAGGTGGTCAGGGAAGATTTTCCTGACAGAGCATTTAAATTACAACCTGAGTAATGAGAATGAATCATAAACTTTATATCTATGTTATCCAATAAACAGACCAATAGCCACTGGTGGCTACTGAGGAGTTGAATATAATTAGTTCAGATGGACTGTAAAATGTACATCAATCTCCAAGGCTAGTACAAAGGTGGTAAACTATTTCATTAATCATGTTTGTGTCAATTAGATTTGAATTGCATTTTATATACACTTAGGTAGACATTATTAAAATTAATTTTTATGTCTCTTGTTTGTTACTAAGCAGGGTTCCCCCAGCAGATTAACTTTGAACTCATGATCTTCAGCTTTTTAAAGCTGAAACTCATGTTTCAGCTTTCTAAGTGATGGAATTATATCTACCATGACTTGATTTGTCTTTTTTTTTAAGTTTTTTTTAATTGTCTTTAAGTAGTTGTACAAAGGGGTTGCCAGTTAATAAAGCAGTTTATAAATATAAAATATCTTCATCAATGCCACACCTTTCCACATTTTCACACATCCTCTCAAGGCACCCCTTCCCTCACAATTCTTAATTTTGTAGAATATATATTGAATTACTAATTTCACTCTCCCTCTCTTCTCCTCTTCATTCATCTGTTTTACTCCTCTTGACCTCATCCTACCTCTTTCAAGTACCAGCTTCCTCGTGTTTATTTTGTTCAACTTTGCCTTTCTAAGAAATTACAGAGTTCTCCTTGAATTTACCAAATTTCAGTTACTATATTTATATATACTTGTATAGTACTAACTTACTTACTTGCAAGTTTTTCACCTAAATCTAGCTTCCATATATGAGGGGAAACATGCAACCTTTGTCTTTCTGGGTCTAACTTACTTTACTCAATATTATTATTTTTCAGCTCTTTCTATTTCTTTACAAATGATTCAATATCATTCTTTCTTACTTTTTTTAATTTTTTATTTTGTTGATCATGGGTCTTGAACTCAGGGCCTGAGCATTGTCCCTGAGCTTTTTCCCTCAAGGTTAGTGCTTGACTACTTTGAGACAGAGCTTTACTTCTGATGTTCAGGTGGTTAATTGGAGATAAGAGTCTCAGGCACTTTCCTGCTGAGGCTGGCTTCAGACTTCCTCAGATACCAGCCCCCTGAGTAACCAGGATTACAGGAATGAGCCAGGAGCAACCAACTTCATTCTTTGTAATGGATTAGTAAAATTCCATTGTTTACACAGTCCACATTTGCCTGGTGTCTTCATCCATTGAGGGGCATCTGGACTGATTTTATACCTTGACTAAGGTAACTAGTGCTGCAGTGAACATGGGTGTGTTGATAGCTTTACTGTATCCTCATTTGTAATCTTTTGGTTAAATGCCCAGCAGTGGAATTGCTGGATCATAGAGTAATTCTATGTTTAGCTTTTTGAGGAATCTCCACTCTGCTTTCTAGATTTTTTTTAATGCGACTTCTAAAATGTTTAAAATTACATGTGTGGTTCACCTTAATATTTCTATTTAGTAGCCCTGCTTTAGTAAGCTTCAGCCCATTTGTTATTGTATGTGTTTTTCGATCTTTTTTATTTATTATGTTGGTAGTAATTGAATTTATGTAGTAGACTTTTAGATCTGTCTGTATTTATTGATTTATTTCATCCAAATATAATAATTCAATATCTGATTAAGCTTAATACAACTCAAAGTTAAGTGCTAATGGGTGAGAGAAGAAACACAGAAAACTGCCACATTTACCAGAGGAGTTTGTCATTAGTCATGTTCCCTTAGAAATCTTCACAGAACAGATAAAGAAGACTCAGAGTTGGAGGAAAGGTAGGCAGAGCAAGCATCATAAGGTAATGACAGCATATGACAGGATTTCATGGGAAAGAAAAGATACCAGCAAGTCCCTAAGATCTATTTCTGTTCTTTGTTTACTGAAGTAGATTTTGTGTTGCATAGAAGTGCCACTCTTGCATGTTAAAATAGAGTTTTATTCTACACATTGTGTACTGATGGGAGTGTTATTGACTTAGTGTGCCTCTTTTATATCTGTCAGGTATTGTTAAGTTTATACACCTTTAAGAGCATTAAAGTAGTCCATTGCAGAGATCCAGCAGAATAGTTTTCTTGTTCAGTGTTACTATTCTCATTTCTGATTGTGACATGCACTGTGGGGAAGAGGTTGACCAGGTAAAATCTATGTTTGGTTGTACAGGTAATTAAAAAAATAGTTGATGAACATTTTAGAACCTCAACTATGATGTTTGTTATGTAATCTGTATTAACAGTTTTGTGAGGGGAAACTCTACCCCTACTGTTTGAGAGTTGAGTCATATCCTGAGAATCTGAAGCACCGGCATGGTATTTAAACATCACGGCTTCCTCTTATTTTCATTCTAAGTCACTGCAGTTCAGAGCAGCAAGTGCTCTCTGCAAAGAGGCTGTTGCTCTCCCTTGGAGGGAATAGACATTCTTGCCGGTATTCAGTGAAGAAAGCCAAGTCTGGATGTGCAGTTCTCTTACTGGTCTGGAAGATGTTTTTCTCATTTCTAAACAGCTATGCTAGATACCTACAAACTGAGAAGTGCCTGCAGTTTGCCATTTGTTTTTGATAAGGTAGGTACCAGATTTGAGTTTACTCACTGGTTTGTGGCAGCATTAGATAAGTGTGGCAATTTCAATACATGATTGTGCTTCAAAAATGCCTTCTCAAAGGGTATTGAATGTGGCACTTGAGATTCTAATGCATGTACAATCTACCTGTGAGATACAGCTTCAATAAATCAAAATTGCTTTCATAGTTAGTGGAAAGTATTGCCAGATAAATTGAAACATGGTTATAGCTTTCTACTGGTTTAGTTTTTCTTAAGGATTAAGTAGTAACAGTTTCTCCCCACCCCCCTTCTCTCCCTTCCTCCCTCTCTCTCTTTCCCTTTTGCTCTTTTGTTATTCTATGATCTCAGTAAAAGGTGACATATACTTGAGAGTCAGAGAATTTTGTTTGAGTTTTATTCTAACTAATTTTATTTCCCAAACTGTGTTTTTCCATTGAAATAAAAATGATATTAGAAAGTTTAAACTCTCTTGCCCTGTCATATTTGGATTTTTGCTTAAGGAGGGAGGATACCATATTTATAAACTTCTGGTTGATCTGTTTGTTTTAAAAATGTGTTTCTTTTAAAACATGTTTAACACAGCCTACATTCTCAGTTGCTGTTGCAGACAGTCATATACAGATTGTGTGCATAGAGAAATCTGAAATGAGAGACTTTATTTTTCAAATTCCTTAGGCAGAATATTGAAATGTTGAGGCTGAGGGAAGACAGGAATGCTGTCTTGGCTTTTTACTCATTAAAGAAATAGCATAAAATCAAAGTTGAAGCGAGATCTTATGTCATATAACTTTGGATGCTCATATTAAGGGCTTCAAATTTATTTGAGGTAATAAATAAGTAAGTTGGCTTTGAGAGGTATTGCTTTGAATTTACAAGATATAAGTGAATTGAGACTTTAAAAATGTACCCAATAGCAGTTGGTGTTATGAATCCTCTTAATTGACTCACTGTCATGCTTAGGAATGTTCCATTGCTATATAAAATTATGTCCACTATCAAATTGCTAGATTCTAAGTAAAACATAGCAGTTAATTTTTATTAGATATGCATTCAATAATAACATTTCTGCAAAGGCTAAGGGTTAATGAACTGACAGAAGGAAAGTGAATTCCCTCTTCTTTGGTGGAAAATTAAATTTTTTCCAGGACCCAAGTATATTTGAAAGCAGCATCCCATATTGGAGAAGTTAGCTCCCAAGAAAATAACTTAGTTCTTAAGAGCCTTTGGGACTGCAAGTGGAATCTTACTTGTCTCCAAAGATTATGAAATAAGCTCTCATATACAATGCTCTACTGCTTGATTATGTGCTATACTCAGCTTTTTGCCTGGGCAAGGAGGAAGCTATTCAAGTTCATCAAACATTTTGCTGGAGAATATTTCCTTCTGTTATCTGAATATAGCTCAGTGTTTATTAAAAACAATGAATAGAATAGAATACACCCACATCAAGATGAAAGCATGTCTTCCTTTTCTTGGTGTTGTTTCTGAGACTTCATCATGGATATAATGGCCATCAAACTGTTGCCATGAATGGCACCTGCAACTGATCTAACATTATCAAATCGAGTTGTTACACTATGCCCTGCCTCAAATAGGAACTGAGTTTTTTTAAGACATTGCAGAGCCCACTGGTGATTGCCTGGTGAGATTACTTAGCATTTTGTTACTTCTTTTTCTTGCCTCCTATGTTGGCTCCTTTCCTGCCTCCTTGTACTTGCAGAAGGATATAGATAATGGGTGGGAAAGAGAAGGGACGATGGGGAAGGAAAGTGAGCACATTCAAATAATATAGCCTGTTTTTTTTACCCTTCATATTGGTTTGATGAAGAAGTCAGAAAGATATAATTGCTAACATGAGTGTAATCTAAAGTCTATCTAAACATAACTAACATGAGGCAGCTGTAGATTTTGATGATCAGAGAATTCTTCAGCCTCTGAGATAAAAAATTATTGGAAACTTGGTAGTGACAGATTTTTCAGACTTTATCTATCTCACAAGATTGTTTCAAAGATGATGTAAAAATATTCTATTTAAGAAATACATCAAATGTGATGTTATATTTTACTATTTAAATAGTTTAGTATTTTAAAAAGGTTAGTTTAATATTTAAATGGTCTAAAGTATTAAAAGAGTTTAAATAGTTTAAAATATTAAAGTATTAGACATATTGTTGAGGAGCTACTTTTGTAAACATAAAAGTATTCAGAATTATACTCGGGATTCAGTTTATTTTATTTTAGGATTAAGGGTCTTATCTTTAGGAATAAGGGTCTTTTTCCTTCTTTGTAAATTACTATTTTTAATGTCCAATTTACATGTAAATACTTTGCACTGATATGTTTCAAATATTTTAAATAACTTTATTTAAGCCCTAGTGAACCTTCATATTTCAAATAGCTTAAGGAAACTCATTCTCAACAAGATAGTTATTGAGTTGCATGAATATTATTTTCAAGCTAAAGTCAATATTTACTTTATCTCATCTAGTGACTATATCATCCGAAGCACTATGTATTTTCTTTTAATTTTTTCTTTTAAAGAGGACTTGAATAGTCCATAATGAAGAAGCACAACATAGGAAGAAATTTTATTGTATTGTTATTATGACTCCTGAAAACTAAGCCTTTGCTTTTATATCCTATTGTCCCCATTGAATACTATTGGATATCAAAAGTAGAAAAGCAATTATGAAGCTCAAATGAGGCAGTTTTTGAAACTTAGTTATTATCACCAAGTAAGACATTAGCAATTGTACTTTGGGGTAGGAATATAGATGTTATCTCAACTCTAATTTCACAAAGAACGGTAAAAAAAGATTAAGATTTAAGGGCCATTTTCATTCAGTAGTTATCTGAGCAAAGAATCAAACTTTAGTCTTTTCTGCTTGTCCAGTTAACTAGAAAATAAGCAGAAACTGGTTGTTTCTCATATAATACTCTTGAGGTGGCCTTTGAAAAACAACTTTTCCAGATGCTAATGAACAAGCTCATAAGAAGCTATGCTATTTTAAGGATTTTTACAGAAGATATATACTTCATTTGCAGATTTCATGGGCTTAGAATTTTCTGCTTGGTCTAGTTCAATGAAGCATAGATTGTGGAATCGTTACCAAAATATACCATATGACTTTTGGCAACTTTTTATGCTGTTGTTACAGTAGAAAAAGTATTCAAGTCCACAATCTGAGAAAGTGAACCATAAACATAAACATGCTTAATGGATAGGGAAATACTTGGAGCTTTTAAAATTTTAGGTGGTAATATTTATTGTTTTGAGATATATGTTAAAAGTGAATCGCCAAAAAAATCTTACCCCAAGCTTTAACTTTTTTTTTTTTTTTTTTGTCGATCATGGGGCCTGAACTCTTTTTTTTTTTTTTAAATTTTATTTTATTTTATTTGAGAACATACTGTACAGAGGGGTTACAATTACATGGGCAGGATAATGCATACATTTCTTACCAAGCATTGCAGCCTCCTCCTTTGTTTACCCTTCACCTCCCTTCCCAGCCTCCCCCCTCCCTCCCACCCAATCATACCCCCCTCCCCTCCCCCCACCGACATTGTAAAGCTGGTTTTGACATGACATTTTGTACTTCTCATTGTTGCAACAGGTCCACCTGAATCCTTAAACGACTTGTTTGTCCCCATCTCCTCCACATGTTATACTGACATCAAATATAGTGAAAGCGGGGGTTACACTGTGGGGGAGGGACATACAAAGCAACAAAGAAATAATCTTATAAATGCGTTAGAAACACATGCATGAAAGAAACAAAAACATTAAAATACATATCTGAGGTTTCGTTTTCCTAACATCACATTATCTGACTTTTTCCGCTTGACTCATACCTATACTAGATATTGCAAATAAGGGAAACCATGGGACCTATGTTTCTTTGGGCCTGGCTTACTTCACTTAATATAATTTTTTCCAAGCCTTTCCATTTCCTAACAAATGGGGAAATGTCATTCTTTCTGATGGAGGCATAGAATTCCATTGTGTATATATACCACATCTTCTTGATCCATTCATCTACTGAGGGGCATCTGGGTTGGTTCCATGTCTTAGCTATGGTAAATAATGCTGCAATAAACATAGTTGTGCTGGTAGCTTTAGTGTGGCCTTGTTTGTGATCATTTGGGTAAATGCCCAAAAGTGGGATTGCTGGGTCGTTGGGGAGCTCTATGTGGAGTCTTTTGAGGAACCTCCATACTGCTTTCCAAAGTGGTGGCCTGAACTCTTGGCCTGGGCACTGTCCCTCAGCTCTTCAGCTCAAGGCTAGTGCTCTGCCACTTGAGCCATAGCATCACTTCCAGCTTTTTCTGCTTATGTGGTGCTGAAGCATCAAACCCAGGGCCTCATGCATGCAAGGCAAGCACTCTACCACTGAGCCACCTTCTCAGCCCCCAAGCTTTATCTTTTATAAGGAAACAATCCCTGAATTTCTAATCGTTTCGGTTATAATTGATCTGTATAGTTCATATTTGTAAAGTTTTACTCATTTTAAGGATAATGAGAAGATGACTTTTCATAGTCATAGAAGTTAATACTATATATCCTATTATACCAGTGAACACAAAAGAACTGAAAAGAAAATTTGGTTGTAATTCAGAGTATAGAGTATTAATAAAGGTAATTTCTTATTCCAAATAATTCAAAATGTTTTCATTATTCCCTTTAATAAGAAAATATCTGGAAAGATTATATGCTATCTTCATATCTTGTCTTAAGACATAGCTTCAATAGATAAGTAATAATTCTAATGAACTTTACATTTTCAGTGATTCCATGAACTATAGAAATAAATATGTTATGTAACCATTAGGAGATAAAGAAAAATAGATGAGATAAATAGATATGGATCAGACAACTTCTTAATGTTAGTACAATGAGATAGTTTGTGTTCTACAAGAATAAAAAAACCCCTTGGAGATGGGAGTTCGAGGATAAATCAATATTTCTTTGTAATATTGAATCTCTCCTCTCATTTGCTAGGT